CTGGGTAGGGGAGCTCAAACTAGAGGGCATAGTTTTAAGGTGAGAGTGGAAAGATTTAAAAGGGACCTGAGGGGCAACTTTTTCACACAAGGTGGTGCGTGTATGGAATGAACTGCCAGAGGAAGTTGTGGAGGCTGGTACAATTGAACATTTAAAAGGCATCTGGATGGGTATATGAATAGGAAGCATTTAGAGGGATATGGGTTAAACGCTGGCAAATGGGACTAGACCAGATTTAGGATATCTGGTCGGCATGGATGGGTTGGACTGAAGGGTTTGTTTCCGTGCTGTACGTAGAGTCATAAAAAGGTACTTCAGCCTATTGAGTCTATGCCAGTCAAAAACAACCGTTTAACAACTCTAATCCCATTTTCCAGCACTTGGCGCTTGGTCTTTGTATGGCTTGGCATCGCAAGCGCACATCTAAACACTTCTTTAATATTATGAGGGTTTCTGCCCCTACTAACCTTTCAGGCAGTGAGTTCCAGATTCCCACCTTCTGGTATCTCCTCTGAACCTTCTGCCCTTTGTACAGGAGAAATAGATTTTAAGGTATTGTATCAAGAAGAAAAGTTTCTTCCTGTCTGTCCTATCTAGGGCCCCAAACGTTTATGACAACCCCCTCTGCCCTGGGGAAAACCATCCCCATCTGTCCACTCTCTCTCCATAACTGAAACTCTCCAGCCCAAGCAATCTCCTGGTAAATCTCCTCAGCACCCTCTCCAATGCTATCACTTCATTCTATAATGTGCATTCAAGAATTGCACACAATACTGTATATTTGAGGATAGTGTGGGAAAGTGACATTGAAAATTAGCTTTGATCTAGATAGCAGAGTAGGCTCAAGGGGCTGAATGACCTTCGCCCATATTCCTATGCCCCTGTTTTTCTGTTTTTGTAACATTTTCATAATAATTGTCTTTAACACAGGAAAATGATAGCTTTTTTGGGAAAGTGGGAGGCATGGGATAATAAACCAAAGAAACATACAATCAAATAAAAGAACAAAAGCTTGGTCTGAGCTAAGTTTCTTTTTTAATGTATTCATGGAAACTGGGTGACGCTAGCTGACCAGCATTAATTGGTCATCCCTATTTGCTGTCAAGAAGGTGGTGTCGGTAGCCTGCAATGCTTTCAGAGAGGGAGTTGCAGGAGTTTGACCTAGTAAGAGTGAAGGAATGCCGATCTATTTCCAACTCAGGATGGTGGGGAACTTGCAGGTGGTGGTGCTGTTATCAGAGTTAGACTCATCCAGGCAAGCTGGGAGTATTCTGTCAGCTTCTGACATGTATCTTATAGATAGTGGACATGTTTTGAAGTGTCAGGAGCTGTGTTACTTTCAGAATTCCTAGCCTCTGACCTGATTTTGTAGCTGCAGTATCTAAATAGTTGATCCAATTCAGCTTCTGGTCAATGGTAGTTCCTAAGACGTTGATAGTCAGTTGTACAGCATGGAAATGGACTGTTCGGTCCAACTCGTCCATGCCAACAAGATGTCCTAAATTAATCCAGTCCCATTTACCAGCAGTAGGTCCATATCCCTCTATACCTGAAGGCCAAGCAGGCATCTCCACTTCTGACCTTATGATGGAGCGAAGGAAGCAGCTGAAGATGGTTGGGCCTCGGACAGTATCCTGAGGGACTCCTGCTTGAGCTGACATGACTGTTCTCCACAACCATTTTCTTGTATGCCTGGTATGACTTCAACCAGCAGAGAATTTTCATCATGATTCTTATTGACTTTAGTTTTGCTAGGGCTCCTTGATGCCTTACTCGGTTAAATGTGATATTGAGAACAGTCACTTGCCTCACCTCTGGAATTCAGCTGTTTTTCCCATGTTTGAAATAAGGTTGTAATGAGGTCAGGAGCTGAGTGATCCTGACTGAACCCAAACTGAGCTTTAATGAGAAGGTTATTGCTGAGCAAGTACTTTTTCATATCTAAGTCGATGACACCTTCCATCCGTGATATTAAAGAGTAGATAGATGGAGCAGTTATTGGCTAGATTATATTTGCCCTGCTTTTTGTGCACAGGACATTACTAGGCAATTTTCCTCGTTGTTGGGTGGATGTAGCTGTTGCTGTATTGGGACTGCTTAGCTAAGGATGCAGCAAGTTCTAGGGCACAATTCTTCATTACTATTGGCAATATGTTGTCTGGGTCCATTGCCTTTGCAGCATCAAATACCTCCAGCCATTTCTTCGTAACGTGAAGTGAATCAAATTGGCAGAGGTAGATCATTCTCTCAACCCTTAATATTACCTCCAGACAGTAGCGAATATATGGAATTCAGTGCCATGTGTTGCAGTTGAGGCAAATGGCATAAGTCTACTTGAGAGTGAATGGACTGAAGAATATCCTTGGGAGGTTAGGTGAAATACAGATATTGCTTAACAAATGTCTGTCAATTCTCAATTTGATATGATTGATTTCACTGTATTTCAGTACACGTGACAATGAAAAGCTTCGTTTACGAGCTGTACAGGCAGATCACAGCCAGCAAAGGATGTACAGATCAAAAAGACTTAGAGGCATACAGGTTACATTTACATTATTTGAGTCTAGAGTCCATTCAACAGTCTGATTATGGCCAGAAATAAGCTGTCCTGAACCTGCTGGTGTGTGTGTTCAGGCTTCTGTATCTTCTGCCTGACAGAAGAGGTTGTAGGAGGTCACTACCGACATGCGATAGGTCTTTGATTTTGGCCGCCTTTCCACTGCAGCGAGTCGTGTAAATGGAGTCCATGGAACGTTGGCTTCTGAGATGGTCTGGGCTGTGCGCACCACCTTCTGTAGTTTCTTACCGTCCTGGGCAGAGCAGTTGTCGTGCCAGGCTGTTATGCACCCAGACAGTATGCTTTCAATGGTGCATCCGTAGAAGCTGGTGAGGGACCTTAGGAATATGCCAAATTTCCTGAGCCGCCTGATGAAGAAAAGACATTGTTGTCTGCCTTGACTGTCACATTTCTGTGGCAAGTCCAGGACAGGTCGTTAGTTACCATCAGTCTGAGGAACTTTATGTTGTCCACCCTCAACCTCACTTCTGTTGATGTAGATGGGGGCGTGTTCTCCTCCTTTCTTTTGTGAAGTTGATGATAAGTTCTTTAGTTTTGACAACGTTGAGAGACAGATTATTTTCATTACACCACATCAAGTTCTCTATCTCCCTTCCGTATTTTGATTTGTCATTGTTAGATATCTGTCCCTCAGCGAACTTGTAGATGGTGTTTGTTTGGAATTTGGCAACACAGTCGTGGGTGTACAGGGAGTACAGTAGGGGGCTAAGGACACATCCTTGGGGGTGCTGCAGTGTTGAGTGTTATTGTGGAGAAGGTGCAGTTACCTATCCTCACTGATTGCAGTCTGTGGGTCAGAAAGCTGAGGATCCAGTTGCAGAGAGCGGAGCCAAGACCAAGTTCATGCAGTTTTGAGATCAATCTGGAAGGGATAATGGTGTTGAAGGTGGAGCTGCAGTCAACGAGAAGGAGTCTGACTTAGGTATCTTTGTTGTCCAGATGTTCCAGGGATGAGTGCAGGGCTAGGGATTAGGCATCATCTGTGGACCTGTTATGTCAGCAGCTAAACTAGGGGATTGAGGCAGGTTGGGAGGCTGGAGTTGATGTGGGCACTTCATGATTATTGAAGTCAGAGCTATCGGGCGGTAGTCATTAAGGCACGCTGCTTGCGTTTTCTTGGGTACGGGGATGATGGTGGCCTTCTTGAAGCAGGTGGGGACTTCGGCTTGTAGGAGGGAGAGGTTGAAGATGTTAGTGAATACCGTGTGAAGTATTAAATATTTTGAAGAATTCCCTCCCTTAGGACGTTGAGTCAACTTACAGCACATGGACTACAGCGATTCAAGAAGGCAGCTCACCACCACCTTCTCAAGGACAACTAGGTATAAACAATAAATGCTGGCCAACCAGTGATGAGTGAAATTTCAATCAAAAGTCCTTGCCTCTTCCCAAGACCTGCCCTCGTGTAGTTGCTTGTTGATTTGGATTGCTTTCATCTCCAGACTCGCAGTTATTTCTATTACTAGAACTGACCTTTGCAACTCCCCTTTCCATGCTGCGTTTCGAGTTTCCACAGTGCGGAAGTTTAGTCAAGTTTAGGTGCAATTTTAGTCACTACCTCTTAAACACTAGCCTAGAAAGGAAATCATGCACGATCGGAAAATACTGTTGCTCTGTCCTTTGTCTTGTCATTTGGCTAACAACATAAAAAGGTTAAACTATTCATTGATAATCAATATGAATATGCGATTGTATGCTCAAGGGATGTATTGTTACTCCTTTTGTAATCACAGTTGTTAATAACTGCATGTGACATGCGCCACTACTGTGAGTGCTGTCAACTTGCACTAATATCACCTTGGTAAAGCTTCCCTTTTTGCAATAACATTTTTTTTGTTTAAACATCTTTGCAAGTTGACCATATAATTAAGGTGACACTTCCAGTGCAGTACCATCAGATGTCTATTCAGGTGCAAATTCCTTGACACTATTTGAAAGAACTTTGTGTTATCCCAGCATCCTGTCTGTAACTTTCCCTTGACCAACGCCACTAGAAACTGATTTAACAGGTCAAGTCGTTGTATTTGCTGTTCATAGCATCTTGCAAATTAGCTGCCCTGTTCATGAACACAAAGAGCAGCACTTTGAAATCAATCGACTGAAGGCAATGCAGTTTGGAGCGCAGTGAAACTTTCCATTTAGTGACACCATGGCTTGTACTGTGGTTATCAACTCTGCTAAACATGGCTCGTTGCATCTTCGTTGTTATTTTTCATTGTCATTACTAGTTGAGGCCACTAGGTGGTGATTTGCACATTGGTTTTGCCAATCCTCAAATACAACTACTGAAGACTCGTGGCTAAATAATTTTTTCTCCTTTTTTAGCTTTAACGATGAAGTTGGCTTATAGGCCTCCTTTTGTATATATTTTTGCTTTTTTGTGAAAAGTCAGTATCACTTTTTTTTTATTTTCCGGTGACAGGTATGTGTGGGTCCAGAAACAAAAGATGAGCTACATGTCATTGAGGTAGAGGCTATGAACTCGAATGGAAAAATGATCAAGGTCCCTTTGACATCTCTGAAGCCATCCATTCTAACTACAGTAAGTGCCTCAACATATGCACAAGTGTTTACATTTAATATGTATAGTGTTAGTGGGTAAGTTGTTCACAAAGCATAGTGGAAATCAGAAAGAGTGCAGATGGCAGTGTCCAGAAAATGAGGCCACCTTATAGCTATACACATAGATGATCAAGTGCAGTCATGTGTATCCTTTCAGCAGGACAAAGTGATTCCTGACTCTCTCAGTTGGAGGCTAAAGGTTTTATAAATTCATGAGGGGCATGGATAGGGTAAATACCCAAGCTCTCTCCCCTAGGGTAGGGGAGTCCAAGACTAGAGGGCATAGGTTTAAGGTGAGAGGGGAAAGGTATAAAAAGGGACATAATGGGCAAGTTCTTCACACACTGAGTAGTGTGTGTATGCAATGAGGAAGTGGTGGAGGCTGGTACAATTACAACATTTTAAAAGGCATCTGGATGGGTACATGAATAGGAAGGGTTTAGAAGGGTTTGGGCCAAATGCTGGAAAATGGGACTAGATTAATTTAGGATATCTGGTTGTCATGGACGAGTTGGACTGAAGGGTCTGTTTCCATGCTGTACAACTCTGATTCTAGTTGCTGCCCAATCTGTCTGCACCTGCATATTTATTCATCGTACTTTTTTAATCAAGTTGCTGTGTGGGATCAAAATAGAACTCCAAAAGAGAAAATGTATTTTCTTTCTGTTGGAAATGTTGGTTCCTGATTGTTGGACTGAGCTGGTAATGTGACAGAGGCACGTTCAGTTGAATCATCTGGAAAGGAATTATTCTTCCCTCTGAAAAAGAAGGTTGAGCAGTGGTAAGGGGAAAAGCACAAGTTTGTTGCTCATTCAAGGAGTTGACACAGACACCATGGGCCAAATGGCCTCCTGTGCCATAAAATCCATGCTTCTGTGACAGGCTACAGTAAATGGTAACTGGTCCAGATATTAATTGTGCTAATCTCAGCCCCCTCTGTCCACTTCAATTGTCGAAAGAAAAAGAAGATTCCTGGAAATTCTGCAGAAACTACTTAGGTTTATGCTGCAACATTTCTCTGTTAGAGTTTGATGAACAATTCATGGTATGGAAGACATGAGCAACATCCCAAAAATTCGAGAGTCGGGGGTTGGGGGTGCTGAGGTGAATATGGTGGCCATCACCAAGCAGAAGGTACTAGAAAAACTGAAAGGTCTGAAGGTGGATAAATCACCTGGACCAGAGGGACGACACCGCAGAGTTCTGAAGGAGATAGTGGAAATGTTAATGGTGATCTTTCAGAAATCACTCGAGTCAGGGATGGTCCCAGACGGCTGGAAAATTGCTAATGTAACCCCCTGTTTAAGAAGGAGAAAGATGGGAAATTACAGGCCGACTAGCCTGCCCTCGGTTGTTGGTAAGATTTTGGAGTCATTGTGAAAGATGAGATTTCTGAATACTTGGAAGTGAATTGTAAAATAGGGCAGAGTCAGCATGGTTTCATCAAGGGGAGATCTTGCCTGACGAATCTTTTAGAATTCTTTGAGGAGGTAACGAGCACGTTAGACCAGAGACAGCCAATGGATGTTATCTACCTGGACTTCCAAGAAGGTCTTTGATACAGTGCTGCACAGGAGGCTGCTGAGTAAGATAAGGGCCCATGGTGTTAGAGGCAAGGTACCAGCATGGATAGAAGATTGGCTGTCTGGCAGAAATCGAGAGTGGGGATGAAAGGGTTTTTCTGAGGCTGGCAGCCAGTGACTAGTGGTGTTCCACAAGTGTCAGTGTTGGGACCATAACTTTTAATAGGGCATTCTGGCTACGTTTGCAGACGGTACAAAGATAGGTGGAAGGGCAGGTAGTATTGAGGAGGTGGTGAGGTTGCAGAAGGATTTAGACAGGTTAGGAGAGTGGACAAAGAAGTGGCAGATGGAGTGCATTGTGGAAAAGTGGGAAATCATGCACTTTGGAAAGAATACAGGCATAGACTATTTTCTAATTGAGGAGAACATACAGAAATCTGAAGTGCAGAGGGATTTGGGAGTCCTCGTCCCGGTTTCTGTTAAGGTGAACTTGCAAGTTGAGTCGATAGTTAGGAAGGCAAATACAATGTTGGCATTTATTACGAGAGGACGAGAATAAAAAAAAGCAGGGATGTACTTCTTTATAAGGCAGTGGTCAGACAACATTTAGAAGATTTGGAGAAATTTTGGGTACCATACCTCAGGATGAATGTTCCGGCTCTGGACCACGTCCAGAGGGGTTTCATGAGAACGATGCCAGGAATGAAAGGCTTAACATATGAGGAACGTTTGAGGACTCTGGGTCTATACTTGATAGAGTTTAGAAAGATGAGGGGGAATCTAATTGAAACTTAGAGAATACTGAACAGCCTGGATAGAGTGGGTGTTGGGAAGATGTTTCCATTAACAGAAGAGACTGGGACTTGACGATACAGCCTTAGAGTAAAGGGAAGACCCATTAGAACAGAGATGAGGAGGAACTTCTCAAGCCAGAGAGTGATGAATCTGTGGAATGCCTTGCCGTAGATGGCTGTGGCGGCCAGGTCATTGAGTATATTTCAAACGGAGATAGGTCCTTGATTATCAAGGGGATCAAATGTTACAGGGAGAATGGGGTTTAGCAGCCATGGTTGAATGGCCTAATTTCCGTTCACCTGTCTTGTGGTGTAATTGGGAGAGTGCATTAAAACATCCATTTACAGCAAAGGCTGAAATAGAAATGGACAAAGACAATTGCCACGTTCATAGATAATTCAAATAAATATACAGTGGAGGTGAGAGGTGAGTTTACCATTTCTGTCAGATTATTTTCTTTATGGGAGCAACAAGATTTGTGTTATAAATAAACCTGTGGTATATTGATGCTACTTTTTTCAAACTTCCACTGTGAAAGGATCTGTTTGCCATGTGATATTTGTTCAATATGTGTAATAATTTTGTGTGCCTCGTTCTACAATAATAGCACCTGCACTTTTCTTTTTTACACGGGAACCTTTTCTGTCTGGTTAGAATGCACAACTTATATGCAACTAAAGAAGGTTGTTGGCTTAGCTCAGTTGTGGCGCCTTTTATCACTGGGCTTAAGAGGTCATGGTTTCAAACATTGTCAGTCCATGTTGTGGATTGAGCAATGGAGTAGCACATAGAACAGTACGGCACTGTACAGGCCCTTCGGCCCACCATGTTGTGCCGAACTGTTACCCGAAACCTAAGGTCTATCTAACCTCCACCTCTACCTTTTACGATTATCCACATGCCTATCTAATAGCCGCTTAAATGCCCCTAATGAGGCCGACTCCACCACCCTCTCTGGCAATGCATTCCACGCCCTTACCACTCTGAGTAAAGAACCTACCTCTGACGTCTCCCCTATATCTACCTCCACTCACTTTAAAACTATGCCCCCTCGTAATAGCTACCTCCACCCTAGGAAAAAGTCTCTGGCTGTCCACTCTATCTATACCTCTGATCATTTTGTACACCTCGATCAAGTCAGCTCTCATCCTTCGTCGTTCTAAAGAGAAAAGCCCTAGTTCTGCCAACCTTTCCTCGTAAGACCTTCCCTCCATTCCAGGCAACATCCTGGTAAATCTCCTCTGCACCTTTTCCAGCACTTCTGCATCTTTCCTGTAATGAGGTGACCAGAACTGGACACCATACTCCAGATGTGACTGAACCAGTGTTTTGTATAGCTGGAGCATAACTTCACGGCTCTTGAACTCAATCCCTCTATTAATGAAAGCTAACACACCATACGCCGCCTTAACAACTCTATCCACCTGGGTGGCAGCTTTCAGGGAACTGTGGACATGAACCCCGAGATCCCTCTGCTCCTCCACATTGCCAAGAATCTTTCCGTTAACCCTGTATTCTGCTTTCAAGTTTGTCTTTCGAAAATGAATCTCCTCACATTTTTCAGGGTTAACCTCCATCTGCCACTTCTCAGCCCGGCTCTGCATCCTGCCAATATCCCTTTGTAACCGAGAACAGCCCTTCGCACTATCCACAATGCAACCCACCTTCATATCGTTCACAAACTTATTAATCCACCCCTACATCCAAATCATTTACAAAAATCACAAATAGAAGAGGACCCAGAACAGAGCCTTGTGGTACACCACTCATAACTGAGCACCATGTTGAATATTTTCCGTCCACTACCACCCTTTGTCTTCTAAGGGTCAGCCAATTCTGAATCCAATCTGCCACGTTTTCCCCCTATCCCATGCCTCCTTACTTTCTGCATGAGCCTACCATGGGGAACCTTATCAAACGCCTTACTTAAATCCATGTATACCACTGCTCTACCTTCATCCACGTGTTTGGTCACCTCTTCAAAGAATTCAATAAGGTTTTTGAGGCATGATCTACCCCTCACAAATCCATGCTGACTATCATGAATCAAACTGTGCCTATCCAAGTGATCATAAATTCTATCTCTCGGAGCCCTTTCCAATAATTTGCCCACCACTGACGTAAAACTAACTGGCCTGAAATTTCCGGGCTTATCCCTGTTCCCTTTTTTTGAACAAAGGAATGACGTTTGCCTCTGCAATCTTCCATATCTGTGGACAGTGAGGATGAAAAGATCATCGCCAAAGGTCCTGCGATCTCTTCCCTC